TCAAAAAGTACCTCAAACATACAGTAACACAGAGTTTTTGTCTCACTTTGATTATTTGTAACGGATTACAATATTCACTAGTTTTTATTTTTTTATAAAAAAAAGCGTTATTTAAATTGCACGAAAAAAAATACAGTAACATGAGTTGGTAATCTACAATACGCCAAAAAAAAGAATCAAAAAATTTTTCCCTACAGTTTTTTTACAAAAAATAAAATGGCCAAAAATAAAGATTTTTTTAAATTTATTTTTAAACGGCTCTGACAAAAAAATTAATAATATACAGGATGTCCCAGAGCTCCGTATTTCTTCGATTACTTTGACAGTAAAAAAGATAACGAAATGCGGTTTTCTTTTGGATGATAGACATTCATTTTTTTATGGTCCAAAAATATTTTCATCATTATAGGTAATTCCTATATAGAGTGGCGCAACAAAGATATATTTTTTTTCTTATGGAACACCCTGTATATTATGCGCTTATTTGAAAGAGTTTTTAATTCTAAGAATATCCATATTAGGTTTTATGGGTCTATCTTGGACCGTTTATCATTTATGGGCAATTTTATGAAAAAATAGAATAAGTTAAAATTTTGTAGGTTTAAAAGGTGTTTTTAGAAAGCTTATTAAAAGCTCTACACGATAAATTAATAATATACAGGGTGTTTCGTTTGAAAAAATCAACATAATTGATATTTTGTGAATGTCAACACTCTGCAGTAGTTGCAAAAGATTGATTGAATTTCTACCAAAATAATTTAGGACCAGACTCAGTAAAAATGGTTGCAATTGTTTTTATTCACTTTTTCTTTCCAGCAAAGCTGTTGTGATTTTTCAAAAATGGTTATAAAAACTGTCAAAGCTATTACAGGTATCTATGTTTATATATTTTTTAAATTTCAAACAGTAGGTACATCAATTAGCACATAGTGGTATATGATAATATATTTTGGGTTGCGTCTGAAAATCGGTCAGAGCCTTTATTACATATGACTCTGTACTTTTGGACCATAAAAAATGAATGTCTATGGTCCAAAAAAAACGCATTTCGTTCTTTACTGTCAAAGTAATCGAAGAAATTCGGAGCTTTGGGACAGCCTGTATATTGCTGCTAAGGCCATCGAAAAGTTATGATTAATGCTCGGATTGTATGCACAATTTGTAAAATATGCGCATATACAGGGTGATTCTTAAATAGACTGACAAAATTTTATCACAGCTTCCTAAGGATAAATGGAGACAAACTGTACCCTTTTTAGGTTTATACCCTTTAGGGGCAAAACCCCCTCCGTGCCACTTACTGCGTTTATGAATGGTTGCAATAAACAAGTTGTACGTTAATACCATGGTTTCCACTACCTGTGCTAACACATCAAATATTTAATATTTTTTCCAGCATGTTTTCATTTGATACTAACAAGGATAAAATTTTGTCGGTCTATTTAAGAATCGCCCTGTATATGCACGTATTTTCACAAAAATATGCACAAGATATTAAGAAATATATTCCAAATATGGATCAATATGCAAAATTTTTAACAATAAAAAATCAAAGTTGAGAAATTTTTAACCTCGAGTACACTAAACTTTGAATTTTCGGCATCTTGAACTGCACACGATGAACAAAAGAGAATAAATAAATTGATTTTGCCTCAAACAAGCCATTTCAATAACCTAGTAGATAATTAAGCCTTTTTAAGAAATCTGTACTTTTCAGATCACATCACTTTAAACAATTTTCCTAAAATTCATTTGCAGGAAACTACTTATCCGAATAGAAGAATTTATTTGTTTTATACCAGGTGAAATTAAATTGTTTATTTAAATTGTTTATTCTTTAAATTCATAAAAATGTATAGCGAAAAATAAAATTTTTCGAAATTTTTATTTGTTTTTGAGTTCTACAAAAATATCTATTTTTTTTAAATGACAACCCACTAAAAAAAACCTTTTTCTCATGAAGGTCATAATCTAAGGAACTATCTATTTTATATTGAATTACAAAAAAAAATAATATAAATTGCAATTTTGACAACAAAATCGAATAACTCAAAAAGAAAAAAAAATTGTTCTTAAAATAATATCATTTTTTTATATTATTTTAATTCATATTAATCATTATCTTTTGGAAACAAATGATTAAAAAAACCGCTTGGTTCGATACTTTATATTTTATTTAAAAGAATTTAAAAGAAAACATTCAGCAGGATACTAATTTTTCGAGTCCGGCTTACGAATTACCGATTGTTTTCTCTTTAAAATATTTTGTAATTGGATCATTTTTCTTAAACCGTCCACATTTTTTTTAAATAAACTGAAATTTTTAATCGGAAATTTGTGATTTGAAAAAAATATGCACAAATATGCAATATTTCCTAAAATATGCACGAAGGTGCCAAAGTATGCAAAATATGCATTTTTTTAATTGGCTTATTTTAATCAAAAAACGTTAGATATGCATAGAAAACTTACAATTTTGTTGATTTAACTCTTAAAAACAAATATGCATTTTGCATATAATCCGAGCCTTAGTTATGATATTTTTTTCAGAATTTTTAAATAACGATTTATTTTTTTATTCAGTATAATTCAACCTTAAATGCAAGAATTCATGCATTAAAATTCCTTTTGTAGGAAACACTTGAAATTTAGCTCAAGGTGCACACATTCCTCGCAAATAAATCTGGAACTAGAATTTCAAGCCCGGGAATTGTGGTTAGTCTTAACTATTCATGAAATTAAAAAACTCAGGGATTTTTAATTTTATGAGAAAGCGATTTGACACACTGAGGGTTGCAAGAGCATCTTGATATGTACTCTAAAAACCATATTTTTTCATCAAACAAGTAACACATCCATTTATCACGAAATTCATAAAGTTGACAGCTGCTTTTATTCTGAAACGCAATTTTTACTCAAGTGTTTCGCAAGAAGAACAATTTCTTATCATATCGCGATAAAGTTATGACATTCTATTATCCATCTGTGTTTCTTACATTACTCATCAAAGTGGAACGAGAATTAGACATTTGAAAAACTTGCATACAAATTTTTCAGGTCACCGAAAGCTATTGATTTTCAGAGTTCAGAACTTCTTTCAGTTACCTATTTGAACCGGAAACCATTTATCTTCAATATCCAAATTGACTGTTGACAAAAAATTTGAATTTCACCTTTAAGAATTAAAATAGGATTTTTCTCTCCTGTCTTACTACCAAGACTTTTTGTTTATTAAAAAATGTCTTGCCGTTTGGAAAATCAGCAATGATGGTGATAAAATTCTCAAAGATTATTTCTCCTATCAAAATTAACCAAACAACTAAAATTTTGGGATTTTTCACATTGCAATATTTAGTTTTTCCAACAATGAACTGAAATGCAGCTTCAGCTACGATGTGTTTTCACTCTTCCGTGTTAATTAATCCACTTGTGCTCATTTTCGTCTCTCTGATCCTTAAAGTTTTTGTGTACTCTACTATGTCACAAAAGAAAAATATCCTCTCAATATTTAAGGCATTTTTAATATGCCGCAAGTCCCGCAATAATACCAACAAAACATTTGCGAATAGTTTGCGACCTACACGCGGCATAGCCGCGATCCCCCCCACAATTTCTACAAAACTTTTTCGAATCCGCCTCAGTTTCAAATCGTTTTAAATTAATTTGAGTTCAACCACTCTACTAATTGCTTGGAAAAAATGCACAAATGTCAAGCTTTACATTCTTAATAAGCTGTAAATAGAAATATGAGAAAAAAAAATAAATTTCAAACCTGTGCTCCATTTCATGTTTTTCAAAATGCTGCAAATACGGTTGAAGATACAAGAAAAATGTAAGAAAGAAAGTTGTAGAGAATAAAATTTTCTAGTAAAAAGTCCGCGAGACCATACCTCTATCTTTAATGGTTTAGGCCTCAAAGACGTTCAAAGCCGCTCAAGCGACGTGATTCAGTGCCAGAGGAACACTTTAAAGCAATTTAAACCTAAACCGTTGAAGATAGAAATATGGTCTCGGGGATTTTTTTGTAGAAAATTTTATTCTCTACAATTTTGTTCTTACACTTTTTTTGTATCTTTAACCGTATTCGCAGCGTTCTCAAAAATATTGAGCGGAACGCAAACTGATAACTGTTTTTAATACTGTTTTTGATATTTTTGAATACGGTTGAAGATACAAAAAAAGTGTAGGGAACAAAGTTGTAGAGAATTCAATTTTCTACAAAAAAGTCCCCGAGACCATATCTCTATCTTCAACCATTTAGGTTTAAATTAATTTTTTGTCTCTTGACCACCGGTAAAAATAACACGTTTCGTCACATGAGCGTCTTTGAACGTCTTTAGGACCGAAACCATTGAAGATAGAGGTATCTCTCGCAGACTTTTTTCTAGAAAATTTTATTCTCTACAACTTTCTTTTTTAAATTTTGCTTGTATCTTTAACCGTATTCAAAAATATGAGACGCAAATTGATAAATTTTTGTTTTTTTTTTTAAATATGCGTAGTTTTCAATAAAATTTTTGAGAGTTTAATATTCTCTCTGTTTATATTTTTTATTTACGTTTTGTTCACCACTCTGTAAACACAGCCATTTTTTATTTTCTGCTCTTAAAGCTCAATATAAAAAAAGTAAAAACAGTGCTCTTGTCTTTTAGGTTTATCATTTACAAGACAAAACTAGAAATGTTACAGAATTAAATTGCAAAGTTCGTTCTTTAAGCAGAACCAAAATTCCTCGAAATCTGACTTCGAATAACAAAAATTGTGAAATTTTTAATTAAAAAAAATCGTAGAGTACAGTAAAATGTAGAAAAAAGACTTAAAAAAAACTCAAGTCATGAGTATTTTTCCAAAAGTAGTTATAAAATAAAATTAAAACTAAAAACAAAAAAAATGAATTTTGCGCCGCCTCCTTAGAGTGCAATGATGTTGTCAAGCATCGTAAAACCATAACCTTGCCACTCTCGTGATGGAAAAGCGTTGTAAAATGTTTATTTTTCCAGGCGTACATTTTGACACGTCGAGTTCTAGTCTGGTGAACGAGATAACGACCGCAATCAAGGTGTATGCTTATGGCGTGGAAGACTTCACAAACGATCTGGCAAATGCAGGACGGTCTCTTAATACCCAGCTTTCGTGTGAAGGCGAAGGTGCAGCTCGATGGAATACCGGAGATCGGTTTTTTCGAGTACTCCGCAATGTAAGCGTTGAAGGTGAAGCCGGGAAACCCAATCTGGAGTTTACTCAAGATGGAGTGTTGAAAGCGGCCGAGTTGAAAATAATGAATCTTAGGCCGGGAGTCAGCAAACAGCTCGTTTGGGAAGAGGTATGGTTTAGTAAAAAAAAACATTTTTTTAACTGTGATATTATTTGTTTTGTACATTTTGAAGTTTAGTTTTGGATATAGTCTACATATTTAGTCTACATTAAATTCAGAAAATTAGACTAAACTATTTCTTTTCTTCTCTTCTCTTCTCTTCTCTTCTCTTCTCTTCTCTTCTCTTCTCTTCTCTTCTCTTCTCTTCTCTTCTCTTCTCTTCTCTTCTCTTCTCTTC